TTTGCGATATGGATCACGATCCATCAATACTGCATGCTACTCCGTCAATAAATATCGTGATACTTGAATCACGTCAATAAATACTGGGCGTGTAACAGGGCCCTTAGGCATTTCTAGCACTAGGGATGGCAGGATAAATAAAATAATCGATTAATTAATCATATGATTAATCACCCTGCAAGAATCCTGACCTATGATTATCGGTTAAATTAGTGGGAAAACTGACTATAACTTTTCGTCAGTTTAGAGGTTAGTTTTGTATGGGCTTGGGGAAAAAAGTGACCCTTTCTTGCACACACATGAGCGCATTTGCCTTACAGTATGTTCACGCGCTCACACATGTCATCTAGTTGGTGATGTACAAGTGAGTTTGACGGTGAAACTATTAGGAAAATATCGCGATAATTAGTGATTGTTCCAACCACTATTCTAACCCTTAAATGATTGATAAATTAGTGAATAGATGGCCGCGAAATGTCCAAAAATACATGAAACCAAATTAACAAAATACAATTCCATTTAGTTTATGTGTTTGCTTTATTTGTAAAAATGTATTGTCGAATATTAACTTAATTTCACAAGCTTTTTCAGAGCTACTGAGCTCAGACAATTCCCTAAGATCACCCAAATTTTTTCTTCTCTATCCACAAAAAAATTAATTGCAATTATTGAGAAATAATCGATTAATCGAGTTTTTAAAGGCACTTTTTTACAGTGAGTACTCACACAAACACTTTTCCATAAAAGATTTCTAATTCTCTTTTTAATTTGCTTTAAATAAAATAAAACGAGTGTTTTTGAGGGGATAATTACACAGGTTTGCAAAAAAAAAGTTTGTGCATATTGAACCAAGCTTCTGTATCCCTCTGTTATTCGACGCGCTGAATGCGAATCCGAGGTCTGTAAGCCCCATCACCTCAGGTTCGAGGTTGATGGTCAAGTAGGGAAAAAATAAAGCTGAAAATTCATGTACATGGGGTTTTAGACTCGCTGAACCCGAATCCGAGGTCCGTTAACCTCCATAAGATCATGTTTGAGGTTATTTGACTGTCAAATAGGGCAAACAATTTATTCAATAAAAAAAAATGGTTTTTGTAGTCGCTGAATCCGAATATGGGGGTCCCTTATTGTTCAAGGTCATCTAGAGGTCATGCCATTTTATTAAATTTTCTGGTTTATTCAATGAGTTTTTCCCTACTTGACCTTCAAATGGCCTCGAACCTGACGTTATGGAGGCAAACAGATCCCGGATTCGCATTTAGGACGTCGAATAATATGGGATATAGAGGTTTGGTTCAATATGCAGAAACTTGTTTTGTTTTTTAAACCGGTGTTATTTATTATTAAACCAAGTTTGCAAAAACAAAAGTTTTGATAAGCGTTTCGTTGTTAAGCGGCTGAGTTTTTTGGTGGCTGTACCACCAGCTTTTAAAAAAAGGTGATCTGCAAGCACCATCCTTCTTTTCACGAAAAACTTGTGCGCTTAACCGAAAAAAGCACTTAAGCGAATTCTCTTTACTACTTCAGTGAGGAAGGTATCCGAATCCCTATGAAACCAAATAATGGAGGAGCACACTGGAAATGCTACGAAAAACTTTCGTAGTCTCGTGTTTTGTACAACTTACGAAACTTTCGTTCATATACACATTTTGCACAACCAAACAAAATTTTACGAACCATTCGTAAATATAACGCAACGAGTTTCGTAAGGCATTTTTTCAGTACAATTTGTGAAAACTTTAGTTTATTTTAAATTAGCGAATAAATCTCTGTACCAATAATTTTGTATATTGTACGAAGGCACTCGTAATATTAACGTGTGGTTTTTTTTATTAAATACTTTCATACATAGTTCTAATCCAGAA